AGTAGGTCTATAAAATATGTGTATTTCAGACATTTGTAACGAACCCCTGTTGATCAGTGCAGTGTAACAGACGATATTTTTGATAAATTGCGTGAGCGTTAAAATTGTTTCCATTTCCGGCATTGGTGATTTCAACCGATGTGCATTTTGTACGATGTTGCAGACCTTGGTCTTGTTTTTGTTGTAGTAAAAGTATTTTTTATTTTATTTTTTATTTTGCACATAAATTTACCATGAGATTGTCAAATCTCACAATGCCTAGCGATATTTCAGCAGCCGTCATGTTAATTTACATCGGATATTGTAGTTCCGGTCAGTGTTGTATTAATACACTAAGAATTATGTTTCGTGCTGCATGGTAATTAAAGTCCCATCAACGACACAGCTTCCAAAGAGGCTATATAGTGACAATGCCATGCAAATGTAAATACAATTGTTTTAACACTGTATACAGTTGACCACTGTTGACCTAATACTGACCAATGAAATAAATCGTTCGAAACTTTTTTCACTATGAATTGGGTACCAAGCATTGTAAAATCGAGGATTATTTGGCCGAGTAATGTCCCAAGGCCGAGACATACTCAACCCTTAAACATGGTAGTTGCTATTCCATGCATACCGTTCAGCATTTAAGATAATGGCAACAACTGGTTTACACGTTTTCAGCATTAAGCGACCGGACAGAATGCTGTGCTCGGTGCCTTCGACATGGCATTTCAATGAGGAAGCACACTAAAGTCGGTATCAGACCCACGCTATCACATGAAGGCAAATACATCAGCATATCCAGCCTCTGGCACACACACACATGCACGCTTACACAACAAACATGGAAACACGTCCTTAAATCACCTTAATTGTTGGTTTGGTTTTACTTTGTTTCATGTCCTATTCTCCGTATGTGTAAAGCGTGTACCATGTTTAAAAACTTTGGTATGTCTATGCCTGGGGACAGAACCCACTGCCTATCCCACTTTAGCGAACACCTAACACCAATGCCAAAAGTGAAGTATTGCCTCACAAGGTACTTCGAATCAAAACGTTTTATTTTAAGTTAAATGTTGCAAAAGCGCCAGCAGATCCATTGTGGTTTCTTTAATATCACCTTAACAGAAGACATAGAATGAAGACACATGACGCAGGCCCCCACATTGGTCGCCTTTTACGTCATTGTGTGGGATACGGAGGCAGATTCTTTCCCCGAACCTGAGGATAAACAAAATAAAACCAAATCGAGTGGTGTTGATTGAATTGATGGTGGGGTGTATGTTGATACTTCATGATCAATAGTACTAAGTCTAAGGCTATCCGAAACTTGTGTACAACGAAAAGGAAAGGAAAACCATGACAGAATACATTTCAGCAGCAAAGCAACGACCAGCCTCTGAGACTTACCTTCCGCCAGTCGACCACTTAATACGTTAAGTGTTCTTTGTGTTCGTATCGATTTAAGCCATACACAAGTCAAGAACTATAATAGTGAATAAAGATACATAATATTTGCCCCAAGAGGATATTGATGCATGCGCTTTAAATGCTATTTACGTAGTGTACGAGTCTTATACGCAGCATATTGTTTAGTTGTGCATCCAAACTTATAAGGATGTGCTTTGCGTAAAGGGTAAATAATGAAGCATGTCATTAATTTGATAGATTAAATGACGACACAACGAAACGTCTTTACCTATTATACACATTTGTCCATAGGTTTCTGTTACATAACATGACACAAATTTATTAAGATTCATTTACACAAAGATGGGGATAAAATATAGCCAGACAGTTCGTACATTAATCCTAAATATCTGGCTATTGTTTTATGGGGGTGGGGGTGGGGGGTGG